CTATTATACATGGCTTGGAAGAAATACAATTAGTTGATGAGCAAGATATATATGAAATCCTGGAGAGGGGTTTTTCTAGAAAACACACACAACACACAGAGCAGAATTATCAGTCCAGGTAAGCACTACTACACCAAACTAGAAGAGATATGAAAGCAGTTTAAGTACTTTTAGTGACATGAATTGAAGTTTATGAGGATTGGTCCTAATTTGTAATAAGTAGTGACAGAAAGTTTAATCCTTTGAAGCTGAAGCATGTCTAAATAACATTTATGAATTTAGTCTGGTCTGCAAAGGAGACACCACACTTCACCATTACAAACATCAACTGATTTATGCTGTTTAAGGAAATGATCACTGTTTACAATGAGAATCATATGAAAATAAGAGTTACTGATTGTATAAGCAGTTGGGACTTATACTCGTAGATACCACTTGGCTTTAAGATATTAAAAAAACCTAAATACTAAAACAGATATGTTGGTAGAAGTGTTTTGTAAAAGCCAGCTTCAACATTTATTTCTTGTTTCCTGATAATACTGAATTATGCAGAGATTACATGAAGATTGGTTGTAAAGTTTGTTTGCCTACAGAATTGTTTTATTTCAATAGCTGCTCTCACACAATACTTTCAATTACCGTCAAGATTCCAGCAGAAGGTGAAAAGCCCTCAAAAAGAGGGAAATTGAACCTTGTTGATCTGGTTCATAGTGAGAGTATTGAATGGCCAGCTGTCTGCGATGAAGCTGGAAATATTAATCAGACAATGCAGACACTAGGAAGTGTTGTTAGATTTTTGGTGGACGGAGCCACGAGCGTACCTTTCAGGTATGTAGAGAATGGGTGTCTGATTGGCCTTTATCATCTTTAGTGCTATAGTTTCACTTTCTGCATATTTGCCTTATGCAGTTGATATGTTAGTACACAGATATTTTTATAGGTAGCAGCATGAATCTGGAAGCGTGTCCTTAAATGGTCAGCTGTGGGTTGATGGGTGATAAGGGGGGATTCTACTACTACTTACAAAGCTTGGGGTCCTGGTATGCAAGCAAACCAGTCAGTCAGGTACCAGTCTCATGCAACTTTCATTCAGAGATGTTAGTAACAAAGTAATAGGTTTGTGAAAATTAAAGCAATATAATTGGATGCTGGTATATGGGGACAGGCACAATGTTTTTAGCTTAGGTAGTATAGGCCTTACCAGCACCTCAATGGGCTTGAGGTCAAGCATTCAGATTTGTGCCACTTAATGTAATGTCAAACTGCTTTTAGAAGAACATTGGTGTATTATCATTACAGATTTTTTTATTTTGGGCATCACTCCTTTTTGCACCATAAATTATAATTATAATCCTTGTGGAACTGGAAAAATCTGTCTACTGGTGGACACTTCACACTGGTATTTAGTTGGCTTTCCTAAATGTTGTATGTTATGTATATTTCTTCTACATGTGTATTTAATGAAATGCTTATCCCATCTGATTTTTACTGCACACTTATTGACATGGCAGCAGTGTTGAGGTGGATTGTGTTCACCATACGCAGTGTCTTCTTGCATTCTGCCAGTGTTAGATTCCAAGCAAAGTTGTTCATAAGGCTATAAACATATGGATGCCCCACTCTGTAATTTTTCATATAAAATGGTGACGACTGGCCCTTGCTTCTTGGATTAGACCAGCACTGCATTTGACTTGAAAATGTTAGTATGAATTCTTAATACCAACATTTATCAATTTATGTTCAGCCAGAATGTAGCTGTTAAATGCATACACACAGGCACAATGTTGCTATCCTCCTTTCAGATACTCTTTTTTTCTTAAGAGAACAGTTTTTGACAGATGAATAATATGGCATACATATTACAGATAAACAATTGTAATTAATGAGTCTTTGGATTCTACGTAAAGGAATGTACAAGTACTGGCTTTTCAAGGCAGCCACTCTACTATTGTAAACAGTTGTATAATAATAACATTTTCAGAGACCGAAAGGTAAATTTTATAGTAGATTTTGCTTTGTACATGAACGCTATTATTAGACGGAAGAAAAAGTTTCTCATCCAATAAAACCTTTAAAGATGAACCCGTAAAACAACAGAAATTGCAGACCTGAATTTTTCATTTTACTACAAAATGTTAGAAAATGGTCATTTACTGTTTTTGATTGTTAAACCTTTTGGATATTTTACATGTTGAAATTTTAGGCTATATAAGGCCCCATCTCTTTAATAATGACATGTAAATAAGTAGAGCAAAAAACGTTTTGTTGTATTGCTGTGTGAGTCACTTGGCTGCTGTGTCCAACATTAATGGATGTAGCATTTTTCATTTCTGTTATTTGTTTGAAGGTTTTCAGGATTACATTACCTGTTAGAAAATTCTTTTGGAGACCAGACAAAAACCTCCGTTATCACAACAATATCACCTGCACAATGTAATCAGCAGAAGACACTTAACACTTTGCTTCATGTCCGCAGTGTAATGGAAGAACTCAGTCGTCCATAAATTAACTAGAAGCTTAAGAAGGATCTTATCAAGGTATGACAAAAATTCATTGTATATGAATCTGTTCTTTGGAAAGTCTCTCTCTGTGTGTGTGTGTGTGTGGTTTTTTGTTTAAGTCTGGCATTTGTAAGAAATAAAATTGTTGTGGCCATCTGGACTCTGGCCATCTGATTTTTGTGTAATCTTCATAAGGAACACTCCAGAAGACCAGCAGTTTTAGGTCTCTGGGATCCCTGGTTTGAATCGCAATCTGCACGTGGATGTTTAAACATTTTTTGTTTTGTATGGGTAGAGTTTTTCAATGATCTTGTTCTGGAAGTCATACCCATTGTCTGATTGGTCCTTGGCTTTGCCAGCATGTGACACAGAAAGTCCCAGCTCAGCTCAGCTCAGGCAGAAAAATGTATCACTGTTGTCAGCTGTTAATTTGAATTTGAATTACAGATGCATGGTTTTGCAAGCTTGCAGCAGTAAGCATACGTACATTCCAGTAGACTAGCAGCAGAGAGAATTGTCGGGCGATTCACTGGTAAAACAGAACAATTGGCAATGTACCAGGCAAAGACATGATTGTCAGCCAATACTGTTTCAAGGCTTTGACTGCTGATTTGAGAGACTGTAGTATATTAACAGCGCATGAAACTAGCTCTAGCTGTTTTATGGAGGTAGTCACAGAATCAGTCCCTGTTTTTTTCCCCCCTGAGCTTTGGGAAGAAAAGCATCAGTTTCCCTGATCACACATAAGGCACAGGGGTACATTCTCTTGCTGTGTTTATAGCTGTTCATGTGTCGGCTTCAAAATTTACAGCATATAATTTCATTACATATTATGCTCTATTTCCTGTGTGCCATACTTTATGAAGATTACGTGTGCTGTTATCTGATAAACAGCCTCTAAGCTGCTTGCACTGCTGGCTTGGGAGATATGAAGTGTTTACCTTAATAGCCCACTAAGTTTCCAATGCACTGTCTTATGCTCTCTCAGGATTCCCTTCTTTTTTCCTATGTGCCGAGAGCTAACCATTTTGTATGTACAGAGTGTTTATGAAATTTCCTTCTTTCAATGTGACATACACATAAACTAGGGGTTGTTAACGTTTTCATTATCATGATCTGAACTGGCTATTTATGTCAATGTCGAGGGCTACAAAAGAGGAAATGATAGTAATAATGTAGAGGATAGAGGGCAGAACTGTATTTCTTTAACATGAAGAGAGCAGCTGGTATTACTTGATTTTTTTTTTTAATTTCATATGAAGAACACAATTATGGATTTTCCTACTCTAGTATCTATTTTTCGTTACTTAGATAGTTCAGACAGTGAATCCAAGTCCGCGATCCTGTGTGACATTTCGTAACGTGCAGCTTTTTCACGGTGGTGAGTTTTTAGCCCCGTTCAGCTCCAAAGCTATGGAGTCACCATTTTCATAGGAAGAAAATAGCTAATAATGAATGACTGATTGATCTCTTTATGATATAAGCCTACAGCAAGCAACATGAACCACAGCTTAAAGTGAGACAGCTGTGCACATTAGTATCTAATTCATACTAAACTGTGAAATGTCTGTTGTGTATCTGGTAACTGTGTACCACCTGCTCCAACATTCAGTAACTCTGTTCTGTTTCTTGTGATTCTCAGAGAAAACAGCGATTATTTCCTTAACAGCATTAACCAATTGATCTTTGTCATGGTTGTGTTTTCTTTGGGGTGAGGACGGAATTCAAAAGCATTGTTTACATGAGCTTTGTCTTCAGAGAGTTAAAACTGATGTATGTGCAGTATAGACTTGTTATATAGTTGTTCGTGTGGGTAGGTGCAAGTTCTCGTGGCTAGGTCCAGTTGCCGAAAGATGTGCTCCGGAACGGAATGCTGGGTGACCGACCACCTCGTTGATGACAGTGGTTGTATGCGTTGTGGCCTCGCGATGGAGTTGTGCCAGGATGGGATGTTCGACTGATTGATCTCTTTATGATATAGGCCTACAGCAAGCAATATGAACTACAAACTGGTTCAAAGAATTGTTGAATTTTTATTTTCAAATATTTAGTTAGATAAGACTCAAGCTTGTTCTATAATGCCATGTACCCAGAAGTACATGGTTCTTAAATCTCTTTGTAAGTAATCAGTTATTTAGTCTTTATATATATCTACAGGTTGAGTCAAACTATTACCAAATTCAATGCATAGATTGAACTCTTTGAACCAAATAAACTAACGTTTTTTATAAGGTCAAACTGCAGATTTATAGCATGTTGGCTGGAAACTAAAAGCACATGCAGAAAACCAATGTCCTGAAATAATTAATTAATTAATCTCTCAACTTGTGATAATTATGCTCACATATTACTAAGAGAGCCAAACAGCTTTGCTATTTTATGCAAGTAGCAGGCTGGCCAACTGTTCATTACCTTTTCACTGTTCTAAACTTCTTTCTTTGGCGCATATATTTATATGATCTAGGACATTGTGGGCCTGTGGCAGTGCACTAATAACAATCCCAGGCAGATGGATAAGTGTGTCGAATATTTTCCTTAGAAAAGATATGCCTAATGTCGAACACAGTTACTACGTTTCACTTGTCTACTGTTCCAGGCTACGGCGTCACAAAAACAGGAATAAGATTTTCCATTAAATTATACAAATGTAGAGATGGATCTAACAAAGACCGCACTGCTGCAAGTTTACGTATGCATTCTTATTTCCGCGCATGCTTCAGAGTGCTTGAGTGCAAAGTCTTCCCTTGTGCAAATACTGTGCACTCACTGTTCATTCTTATTATCATTCATAGTGTGCAGTAACATACAGCAACAACAAAACCAACCACTTTTATTGAATACAAACATTTATTTACAATTTAATTTTTTTAGTTTCAACACGGCTTTTAGGTGAGGTGTTTGGAAAGGGAAATTTAGTTTCAACTGGTCACCCAATCTCCCTCCTCTTCTTCCTTCTGGATCTGGTCAACTGTTTTGGGGGTTGAGTCACTCCTTCTTGGGACCAACTCCTCTTTCTGGAGGTCTATCACATCTTTGATCATAAATCTCGTTCCCTTCTTCTGTGAAAGATCTTTCATTCTGTGGAAGTCCTGCAAGAACACAAAAATTTCAAGTCACATTTCATGGGCAAAATGAACTTCTTACACTTAACAGCCTACGCATAGAACTAGAAAATTCTGCCACTAGTCATGTAGTTCACATAGAACATCCTGCGCATGTAAATTCAGAGAGAGACTGAACAAAATGTAAATATGTGTGTTATCTGCACAAACAGATTTTTCGGTGGCTGAGCCTTGGCACGGTCCATCAATCACTGTCCCGCTTGCTCCTGCCATGACAGTGAGCGAATTCTGACATGAGTCAGCACAGCTGATGAGAGGAAACGTAAAAGTCTAACCCAATACTGTGTAAGATATCCTTTGCCCTGGACATGGACAAGTTTACACTACAGCATGAGGCATCTTTATATGAATCATGTACGAGTGTAACTCAGCTATGCAGATTATGAAAAAATTCAGAATGTCACAGTGATCATTTATCACACAGAAACACTATTCAGAATCGTGTCAGCAAGGTCAGAAAGGTATTTCATATCAGAATAGACACAAAATCCTAAAGCGTTCTTTACAATGTGCATTTACAAACATTAAGTCCGTCTTCTGAGACAGTTCCCACTTTGGCCACCAGATTGCAGCACCTCATTTTCTAACTCTCAAATTTCCTCGTCCATAATTATCTTACCACTGCTAATTGGATACTCAAAACGGGATTGAGTGACGTCATGCAGAACAGCACAACGTCCATATCAAATTTCATCCTAGTCTGTCCATTGGTGCTCGAGTTGAATCAACTGGACGACGAGGCACGACCAGCCCATGATGCCTTCTCACTACGATTTTGTGCAAAGAAGGTATAACAGTTAAGAACAACTTGCATGCTACGAGACAGAAGCAAGAAAGTCAGTGAGATCAAAGGCACACTCTTACTGCTTTTTGCATTGTACGTCACATATAAGCCTGGGGTCTACAGAGAGCCCAAAAGAGGGCAATAAAGTAAACAGTAGGAGAACTGCAAATTAAAACTAAAACTGTCCAAGAATGAACAGAAACATTCTTCGTTCTTGCTTTCCAAGTGTCATCAGCAGTTTACAGAGGCACTCCAAGGAATGCTCATCTCCTTCAGAAACAAGATGCTTAATGCATCGCTGCATTACACTTGTTGCCAGCATTCCTAATTTGTGGAGCTCACCAATAAACCTGTAACAAGGTCAAAAATTTATCAATTGGATTGAATTAAGACAATGGAAAAAATCTAAAGAACAGAACAGAATTGAGGTGCTTTGCCTCTACAAGTTACAGAGAGATTCGTACCTTAAAATAGTAACAACTTTTGTTTAAGCAGATGGAATTTAATCAGTGAAATGTAATCATTCCTCGCTTGGTAATTTAAACAAATTAAATGTATTCATTCTCTTGTGTGTGATATATATATATATATATTTTTAAGGTGAAATATTATATATTCTGTTGCATGGTTTCTCATGGCATTCTTGGAATAAGCTGTATCTGTTCATAAGTTTAAAACAGTTGAAACAGAATATTAAAAAATTCAAATTAAATAATTATTTTACTGTAATGCACATTTCAATGAAATTTACATGTTTTGCAGTCCCATTAATTTTCAGAGGTTTTGTTGCTACAAAATACATTCAATTTCTGATTAGTTTCCTGTGGTGTTATGGTTCCTTGTATGACATGAAAGTTGACAATGACAACTTGATGCACCAAGGGTGTCATAAACCCTATGGGGTACAGATAAATTACTTTCCCCTCCAGACTTAAGTTAAAATTTACATGCTGGCAAAATACAGTGTTACGGTCCTGTGGAACATATAATTGAACAGGAATGACACAGCTTCTTCGGGAAAGAAACGCTAAATGAAATGGGGAGCTATCTACACAGAGGTAAGGGGAGATCTGACTGAAGTGTATGAACGAGCATAGCAGAACAAGATGCTGTATCACACGTATGGGAAAGCAATAAACAACAGAGTGTTCAATTTTTCTGAATGTGATGTAACTGTATGTTACAATATATGCAGTTCCCAAATAAATGTGTGACATATTAGAAGCCTATGGATATTTTAAGTGGACCAGGACCTTAAACTTCATTCCCTTGATTATACATGGAGTTAGACCAACAGTGCCCTGGCAGGACGCAAATATCAACAACAAGAAACACCGAGGAAGTGGTGGCTTTATGGTAGTGTGTTATCATATAAGTAGCAGCAATCATTCTCCCAGTCTTCCACATTGTTCCTATACCATTCCTCAAATTCGTCTCCATCATCAAAATACAAATGAAAGCCATACATTTGCATCTTCGCATGCAACACGAATTGCAGCTCAAGTTAGGATTCAGACAGGAAAACCCTGCTCCAGATTCCAAGACTTCGTTCTTCTGCACATTTGGGATTTGAAGTGGGTGCTGACACACAGACCGCTAGATTTCAAATGCAGTATTGCTTCTGGATGTGGCCGATTTCAATCTTTCGCCTACTCCTAACTGACGGGTTTCGTAGTGGGTCTACGTCCCAGTACGTAGCCCGCCTTGGAAACAGTCAACGAAGGAACGATTTATGTCGAAGGCTTTCAATTTTACCGAACGCGATAATGTTCTATTATTATACGATGTTAAATAACTGGTGCAGTTGGTACAGGATCGTTATACTCCTACGACAATACATAACTTGGTGAGGAAACTGATTGTTGGGAGTGTAAACTGCGAGACATGACGTCAGTGCATTGTTGTACTACGTTGACTGCTTCACATTGTTGGCTGGCTGTCTCATTGTTGAATGTCTCTTAGTAAGGTCTGTTGACGTCTTGTGTGGCGAGAAAGGTGAACAAGAGTTTAATCGTAAACCGTGAATATTTTACTCAGATAATATAATTTAACCACCAGGAATATTTTGGCATAAAATCTTCGTCGGGATGAACAAGTTTATTTCCTTTAAGAAGTCAAAACTTCAACGTGGCAACGAAGGGCCGGATAAAGTTGGAGCCTGCAGTCGTCAGCAACGGCAACTGCACATCACGGACTTACCGCCAGAGGTGCTGGCTCTCATTTTCGAACATTGCCGTTACGATGTCTTGGCTACACACGTGAGGCTCGTGTGCAAACGATTCTGTGACGTCGCCACCTCAATTCTCAATCGCGGGTTCCGGACCTTGTGTCAGAAGATTGATCGAGCTATGGTGGAGGCCTTGTCTCGTTTTGAAGATCAAACATTGGAAGAATTTTGTAGAACGACTCGAATTTTCATTGTACTGATGGCTATGAAGTATCAGGTAAGAGAGTGGGGAATGACCGAAACTTTGTAACAACTCACAAGAATGTGAAGCACGAACAAACCCTTAATAGTGTTGATTAGGGTTTAACATTTCTGCTTCTAAAACAAGAGCGTAACTGCTTTTGTTTGACGCGGACTGAGCCGGGGCAGATTCAGACGCGTTCCTGAAACTGCTGTAGGCCGAGGATATGCTCGTCACATCAGCAACACGAAGCTAAGAGTGCACGTGGTTGACAACAGAAATGAAAGCGACTTCGCGTGTTTAATCGACCAGAGTAAATTGCCAGTGACCTAGAAACTGATCGACAATCAGGTTACAGTTCTGATACTGTTACTATATATGCGCCTTTACGCAACAGTGAAACAACAATAACAAGTCAAAATTATATTCACGACGGAATTAGGGGGAGGCTAAATTCCGGAAATGCTTGCTACTTCTCAGTTAAAAATGCTTTGTCTTCCCGCCTAACTTCTAAGAACCTGAAGTTTTAAACAATAATATGCGTGTTGTTTTGTATGGGTGCGAAACATGGTCCCTCACTCAGAGGGAGGAACACAGATTGCAGGTGTTTGAGAATAGAGTGTTCAGGAGAATTTTTGGGCCTAGAAGAGAACACGATGGGGCATGGAGAAAACTGCATAATGACGAGCTTAAAATTTTGTACTCCTCCCCAAATATTGTCAGGGTGATTACGTCGA